CCTCTATACGAAATTGGTATTGCTGGTAGGCCCATCTTTCTTACAGATTGTTAATTTTCTCTATTATCTCCTAAAAACCCTAACTGAAATTATTTGATATAGGTAGCAAGCGTATACAAGCTGTTCTAATATGTGATCTTTGTATAAACTTGTGATATATCATAATACCTTAAGAATAATTGTCATTTTCATGATGCCCCTCCCTAGGCTGACTTGTTTTCCTATCAGGCTGAATTTATCGGAGAGTTCAAAACAGCCACAAAGACGTTGTGAAGGCCATTGATTTTCTTATCAGATATATATTGACGATGTCTTGTAGTATAAGAACAAAGAGATTTATTGGCGATGTTCATGGTATGTATCCACACAACAGACACTTCTACATCATCTGTTTATCGATATCTTTTACGTCGACGAAAGTTTTTAGACAACATGCGCTTGAAGCGTATGGTGTTAACCAGTTACAGTTCATTCGATATTCAAGTGTTCTTATCTTGATATCACGATTTTCACGCAAGATGTCAACTGACAAACTCATAAACCAGAGTTTCAAAGCTGCTGGTTGTTGAATATTACAGATAAGTTTCTTTTTATACTTTTATACTCGTTACGTTGTCTGATGGTTCCGTTCTTGTATACTCTGTTTTCATTTGAGAACTTAACATTACTTACTTGGACTGACCAAGATTTATATAGTTAGTATAGTCGATGAAACAAAATAAGACGCTTACCGTACCGGAACACCTGGCTTTATTTTCCTTCTACTTAATCTTCGTGTAAATCTGCCTTCCTAATTGATATCTTCCCAATGTTTGTTAAATATCAGTTTGGATTATGATTACATTAAAAATCTGGTGCTTTTGATGTTTTTGTTAATCGTGTTGATATAAACATCTTTTTAAAAAACTTACCATAATTTTAGAAATATTTACCGACTTTCTGCTATAAAGGATTGTGAAGAAGCCATTCAACACGCTACCTAGATCCCTGTGTATTAAAAGTGTTTAAGTTCCTTTACTGTTATACTGGAAAGACAACGTAACTGAAAATTCGTTACAGTTTTATACAAAATGGCTTTCTATTAATTTATAGTATCATGAAATATGATTTATGTATCTTGCTTTCAGTCGAAAGTGTTTTGATAAATAGCATATTAATTGAAAGGATACAAATGTAATTACAAATTCCTGATTTATTCACTAGATGTATCCAGATTTTAGACCGTTTCTGAGGGAAAAAACCATTCATTTAATTGACGTGAGTGATATGACATCCTATGAAAACAAGAGTCGTTTACCTGAGGAAATAATCTAAAGGATCACGCTTTAATAAAGTCCGTCATCCTAGTTATACTGACGTCAGAAACTGGACATTACAATAAATCTACTTATGTCAGACATACCTTAGTTCACAATATACTCAGGTAAATCGTTAGACTTTAATATAGTTTTAATATATATGTCTTGCGTGATACTTCAACCAAAGCTTTTTCTATATATGAGGTGTCTGTATAGTTGTTATACATATATATACAAATACTGACGATGATATATATTACGTGATACTTCAATCAAAGGGTTGGTTTTTAGTATAAGGTGTCTGTATAGTTGTTATACATATATATACAAATACTGACGATAATATATATTACGTGATACTTCAATCAAAGGGTTGGTTTTTAGTTTAAGATGTCTGTGGAGTTGTTTTATTTACAAATACTGACAATGATATGGAAAAAAGTATTGAAAACATGAGCGATAAATCAGATAAAGCAAAGAGAAAACAACTTATAAATGAATTTATTATACATTACATCAGCATTTTAAAAAAACAATAGAATTCAGTATCATTTTAATAACTTTATTTACATTTTAAAATATATTCGTAAAAAGATGATTTATACAAAATTACATATGTATGTAATTAATATATATCTGTACAGCTTTATTGAATAATATCATCTGTAAGTAAGGTAGATTGACACATTGATATGCAATATTTATCACATTAATTATTTAAATTATGATATAGCCAGATATTTTAAAAAAAATATACTTGAAACAAGGGAATACAGTGTCCACACAAAAGACTGAATCTGTACACTTTAGACTTTTACAACGACAGCAAAATAAAAAAAAAACTGCAAAATTTACATATATTTATTACATTGAAATGGCAAATATCAGATGTTCAAGAACGTAATTACTTTGTGTCATCAATAGCACACAAATATCTCGCCTCTATGTACTGACTAAGAAGTAATTTTATCTCTTTGAGCGCCAATTGAACCATTGTTATCTTGTATTGGTTTTTTACAGACAAATATACAGCTGAGCTAAAAATATCATAAACTGTAACATTCTTAATTTTCTAATTATTAGTGATGTACTGTGAGCCTCATTTATTGCCATGTTGTTTGACGATGTACTTAACAACTTTTGAAATGTATGAAATACTATTATGCTTAGAATCCATCAATTTATACACATTTCTGATATACTGGCGTTGCAGTGCTACGCTTCAATCAGTTTTAACATATCAACAACAACAACAACATTGTGGCATGCAGAAAATGAACTTTATACACCTTTCTTCACGATACTTTTGATAAGTATGCACTATTATGTGATTTAACCGCGAAGCTACGTCACTCTTATTTTTCATTTTCCTGGAAAGAAAGTTTTGTCAGTATGGATGAAATAAGCATGCCATTCTAAATGATTATAGTAGTTTATGTAATAACTGTCTATGCATTTAATAAATAAAATTTGAAGGAGTTAATCATCAAAATTTAGTGTTGTAAGATTATAACAAATGAATTTTCCCGTTTTAGGGAAATTAATAACTTTGCGCGAACTTCAGCAATACTTCTCCGAAAGTTGTTGGAGCTATTTTCTTTAACTTCAGAATAACATTTTTTCTGTTTCATATAAATGGGCGTTTTGGCAAGCACTAGATAAAGAATTCAAACGAGGTCTTCGCGCTATCAAAATTGGATTAAAAGATCCTCGACTTACCAGAAATACAATTTCATGTTATGCATCATAAAATAGATCTTATAATCTAAAACATGCATATAGCATATATAACAAAATGAGGTTAGATAAACGTTAGTGCATAAAAATCTGACAATGTTCGTCGTTGACTACAACATTTCAACTTAATACTGAAATCCTGTTCAGCACATTGGGTCGTTGTAAAATAAAGGTTTCTCTTGAAGTGTATTGATGAAAGCAGCTAAGAAAATACAGAAACACCATCATGTCAACAAAAACTTAATACAAAAACAAATTTATAAACCTAGAACAAAATATTTTAAAAATCAACACATAGAACTTCTAAACAGGAAATGGAGGTTAATGTCTGGCTTCAACTGCCATGTTATAATTATTTATGGTTATTGAACATTTTCAAGACATAAAATGACAAGTTTTTGGAGCATTTGTTACCACTTACCAGCTGTAGATTTATTGAGGAAGGTAAGATTGATATTTTGGGTGTCAACTTAAAAGTTTCAAAAAGAATCCCTTGCCCTGAATAATCTTTACCAAACTTTGATTAGTGAAAGTAGATATACACATACAAAGGGCGTTGTTCTAAAATTATCTGCTATATGAAAATTAAGAGATTTATTTGGTTATTTCTATTTTGATTTTAGTTTTGATCAATTTGGATTTTCTTAGTCGCCTCCTAGGCTTCAACATTTAGCCCTTAGCATCACTGAAGATCCTAGAAGGAAGAAACAGCTGTATGAGAGAAGCTTAATTGATTTCTTGGCTCCAATGGTATTCACTTGTGTGCCTTTTGTACAATCTTTGAGCAACTTGGTCCAAAATGTTTTAAAATCAACCAAAAAGAGATAAAACGATTAAAGTAATCAACGAACATAAAACTAACAAGAAAAATGTTTCTCTGTGAATGTCATATTTTGTCCTAGTTTTTTTTTAATTGATGTTCCGTTGATGGGAAGATGTGTCTTACCTAAGAAACACCATTTGGGTCTGGCCGACTGCAGGTTAAAGTAATATATACAACTTTCTCATGCCCTTGTTAGTTGCGTTCATTAACGTTATAGTTTTTCTTTTGATGGAAGTAGTAATATATAGATACACATATCACCTGACCTATCAGTAGATTACCAGAAGCTCGCACCAATCAAATGTATAAGAAATTATCAATTATTAATTTAGAGCATGCATTAACAGATTCTGGCTTTTTTTCACTGCACCTAGACAAGAGTTTTATATAGGCATTATAATAATTATCAAAAGCATGTAATAGCCTCAAGATTGAGTTCGTTAGATACAAAAATTATAATTTACCGTAAATGTACATAATTAAGCGCAATTGAGTTTTAGGCCGTTTTCTCATTTTGACAAATTTGCACAAGCAGCGTGATTATGTAAATTGCTGTTTGAGCAATCAGATTTTAATGCAAAATGCTTTGACAAGAACCACTAATTTACTAAAATAAAATAACCGTTAAAATATGTACATTTACATTATGTTTTGTTTTTTTTAGATTCGTCTGCTTCATAAGCATGCTGAACAAACTTGTTTCTTTATCATCTCAATAAACATTGAATGGCACGTGGATATCTACTTCAATTTCGGTTGATTGAAAAATTGATCATAGTAAACTTTTTAATCGTTTCAGCATTTATTCAAAAGGAATCTTGAAAATTTGAATATAAAGATTATCAGAAGCGATCGGCCGTTTTCCCCGGATTTTCATATTTAACTACCTGTGTCACACAATATATAAAGAATGTTAACAATGAATTATCCTATTTTGATAACATTATACTTTCATAATTCAAACTTTCGCGATTTTAACAAACGTGTGAAGCAAAATGAATGTATTTAAACAGAAGTCATGAAACAGCTCACAGCTTCTTGAAATAATTGATAAATTAAAGAAGGTGTTTTTTGCGATTTTATGACAACTTCGAAAATAGCGAAAAATAAAAACCCGTTGAGAGTAAAAAACAAAATCTCATTTACACCGTCACATGATCAGGTTCCAACCCTATATTGTAAAATCCGTTTATTTCACTCAACTTGTCCTCCATTGTTATTGTTGGAGTTTCCGGCTCAGGTAGAGCATCTGCGACTGGTTTTCGACCCTTAAAGGCTAAAGCATATATAAGGCGATCATGGAAAATAGCATCGTCCTTCCTAATGTAGGTAAACGTCTTCAGACACCGTTTTAATTCTTTTGGCATTTCATCATCGGGGATATCTTCCATAAGTACCACAATTAAATGTCGTTTCCTCTCCATGATACTTTGCTGAAAGGCTTCCTGGAACTCATACATACACCAGTGACTGTTGAGAAAATATTTGGAAAGTATGATAACAGTGTGATGACTTGCTTCTACACTGTCAATGATATTATCAAATATAGTTTTGCCAGCAATGAAATCCCGTTGATGGAGACAAAATCGGAACTTGTATCCATTGAATCCTTTATTATTTTCTTCTTCTTCAAGAGCTTGAAATGTTTTTATCACCCAACCTTCGTTTTCACTACTATATGACACAAAAGCATCATACATCTTATTTTGATAGCTCTCGCGTGGTTGACAAGGCAATACCAGATGGAACCTTGTGTATGTTAGAATTTGAATTTCACGTCGGTATCGTGTCATTACAATGATCAAAACGACGAGAAACACAACTACGACACTTAAAATGATGATCGGTGCATATGACGTTATCTCACACGACAGATCGGTTCGTGTCAAACTTAAAAACGTTTTTCCTTTAGCACTTTTGGGAGTAGCGCATTTTAAATTACGAATGTACGCATATGGTGAGTATAACTTATTGTTCCAGACGTCATTATTTTGTACAAGGTCAACAACACTTTCCATGTCGGGGCTGCAGTCACAATGAAATGGATTCCCTTCAAGGTTTAGGATCATTACCGACGAAAGTTTGGCTAATTTAGAGATGAAATTAGTGTTTATCCTAGTAATATTGTTATGGCTAACATTGACATGAAGCAGTGGTAAGTCCCAAGCAGTTGCAGATGGGTCAACGTCAAAAGTATCGATTAAATTGTAAGACAGATCCAGATATTCCAATTTAGGAAAATCCATCCACCATGTTTTGAATCTCGAATTCAATAAACTCATTCTTGTTCGTGACATATTATATATACGGACTTCCTTGAAAAAAGAATTTTCTGTCAAAACATCAATATGATATCTTGACTTGGTAGCACTTATGCTTTGGTCGATATATTTAAGTTTAGAATAGTCACATTTGTGTTGTATTTTTCTATTTTCGTCCAAGAACGTTTTTCCTGCATCTATTATTTTACTTCCGAAATTTTCCGGAGCAGGCGTGGATACATTTAGTGCACTTTCTTCCTCCTCGTCAAAAGAAGCTAAGAAATCCATCATATTGGTTTCATCGAATGTATATGTGATGTTTCGAAGAGCAACGTCAACAATGGTATCTTCATGTCCGCAAATGAAATCTTTCGACATACTAGCAATATTGTTCATGTAATTAATAAGTTTGAAAATATTGATTAATATTTGACTGTCGACGAATTTCAAATCAGTTAGTTGGTCAACAATGCCTGTTGTGGACGGATCTTTAAATGACGATTCCGACAGGAAATCAGTGATTAAACACTCCCTGACCTCCAAACTGATCAGGTGCAATGCCTTTACCGGCCAAGGAATGGACACGTTGGACCAATCAGAACAATGAAGATGAAAATGGTACTGGAATGATGACGTCACTATCCAGTCTCGTAGAGTGTCGAGGCGCCACATGCCGGAATTCTCAGTACCAATGACACAATTAAAATAGGCATTGGTTCCATTGATATTCTCTAAAGCACACATACCTTCCCAACCAACCGGAAGGAGAATATCTTTGGAAATCATACTGGGCGCTGTTGTCATTAAATACTCTGTTTTGTTTGATGACGATATAGTTGTTTCTGTAATCACAACCCCACAACACATCAATAGAATTTTTAAAGAACGAAAAAATATATCAATCCACTGCATGATGTCTGTTTAAAATTGATCGAATGATCACTGATGATCATCTAATCCGGTAATTAAACGTATTCACTTCGTTAGCCTTAAGATAAGTTCGTGTGTACCGTTTACTACGGGTGTAGGTCATCACAAACTGACTTGGCTTAACGTAATGTTTGTTTTAGACGACTCTAATAATCCAGAAAGGAAAAAACCCAGAGATCCGGTTCAGTCACTAGACTGTCAACGCATGTATCCCTGTCCAGGTTAATGGATTGTGACAAAAACATTGACGTGACTGTCCTTTTCATCCTTACGTCAGGTTCCTCGTGTACTTGCCATTTAGAAGAAACGGATGTACGACAGTCTACTGTAATACGATCGTAACGAATCGAACGAATAAGTATTTCCGAGATTTGATGTAAACTGCTCTGTCTAAGTATATTATAGCGTGTGTTACAAGATAAACACTTCCCTAATCATTTACCTGTGGGGTTTGATGGAAAGGTTACCTATACCATTAGCAAAGAAATAGATATAACTTACAAAATACAGATCATTAATCTAAAACGTAAAACGGACAATCGTAATATGATTTTGACAAGAACGACAGGAATTTTCTTTTTTCATTTTATCAAACTCTAACACACTACTTTTTTTTATAATATCGTTGAGTCGATAACGTACACCCACAGAAGGCCTCCTATCTATGTAGGGCAAAGCTATGGAGCCGGAGGCGTCGATGAACCTACAACGGAAAGACATGGCACACGGCTTATAAGAAATAACGACTCCAAGTAAATATATATATGTATATGTAAAAATTTGTTGTCTTGTACACAACGCTTTAAAGCATAGTCAACTTGGATTTTCCTCCGTCACCTTTTAATCACTGACGAGACGTAGAAGGAGGAAACAACTGTACCTGCTACATTTTACTCTTTATTGGTGTTGAAATAAGTTTTTTAATTGTCTGTCTTTGTACAATTCTTCACAAGGCAGTTTATCATTATTTTTTGTATCTCTGAAATACCATTACTTTGATTGCTTATCTTAAAGTTTAGTTTCTTATTAGAACGGTTTAAAAGATGTGAGCGCTTTGACAAATAGTAAAGAAGTGGGAAAGGGGAAACGTTTGCGAACAATAAAATCCATCAATCATGTATTTACGTTTTATAGAAATAAATACATCGGGAAAAAAACGGATGGAAAATCCACTGTGTAAAAAGCATGGCCTGCTGACAAACACGTGTCAGAACAAATGACATAAACGTATAGACGAAATGATAAATGTGAGTTAAAATGAAATCAAAAAGGATTACAGAAACTGTAATTGGACGTGTGTACACTAAACATGTAAGATGTTTTATCTTTACAAAGAATATCAAATAGCCGTAAACAGGTATGAATCACTCACGTATCACTTATCATTTGAACAAATCCTCAAGGATGACAGTCGACCACACATACTAATTGAAAGGTCATAAATTGTAGAACACATTCTCATCTACATAGGTAAAGATCGGACATGTATTTGTCTAAATATGGATAGCCTGTCATCGGCCTGGGATAAAAAAGATGATGTTTTCTTACTTTTCCTAACATTATGTATGCCTTTAAGCTATATGGTAATATCCTCGATATCCATTTCAAGATTTTTTCTAAAGATGAAAATGTGACTCTCCTACCCTTCATAGATTTATTAGAAAACAAGTTGTATTTCCCGATCATTTCCAATTTGAATGAAATCCAGTCATTAAAATTTATTCATACCATACTATAATTAGAGTGGAAATTGGCGATTTTCCTTGTTTAAAACCATTTAGGAATTCTTTATGAAACAATAGTTAAAATGTTTAATAAATATTCAGTTATATTTAGAAAAATAACATCGCCAGCTTTAGTGACTTATCTGCATAGCGATAACATTGATAAACTTATCAATCTTCATTTTTTACATGACAGCAGTTACAAATTACTGATTTAAATACACTAGTAAAATAATGACAATGGAAGTGATAAAACCGGACTTTAAAATTCCTCCCCATACGATCTAAAAGATGATTTACATTTATTCTAAAATGTACAGCAAATGTAATGTGTGATCGATCACATGGTCATTATTGTGACGTCTTTGGACATACTGATACCATACTAAGAAAATGGTTTTAGCACGTGTTCATGATGCAGGTAAAACCACTTACAGCTGTTAATCTATTTATGTCTCTCGCCTCTTATCTTTCATTATTAAGGTACTTGATGTTACCAGTGATATGTCTGGAAAAAATGTTAAAATCAATTTCGAGATACTTAGGTACAACTGTCCGTAGGGACCTACATTCAATCTATGTACTGATGCTGCCAAAAAGAAATGGACATGTTCAGTCGACGTGCAGACTCCGTTCGAATACTCACAGGCACTTGATATCAGACAGGAGAAGGATATGTCAATATTAAGTATTTTCAACATTTATATAACTTTACCAGAGTTGATTTGACATTGCATCAGGAAGAATGTGTCGAGATATGTTCTGCATGTAATAAAAACAGTACAGTGTACGTCACTTTTATTCCCATAAATGTCAGGACTGCAAATGATAGATGAGTTCCTCTCCGGAGTGAAAAAGGAGAATTTAAGTCTACATGAACCTTCTAACGATCACCTAAGATAAAACCTTGTTTTATATTATCAGAAGTGGGCGTGGCTGTAGCAAAACGTGTTGATTTAATATGATAAATGTTCATTTTCATAAATATATATGAAATACGTAATTCACTATTCTTAAAGCAAATATACACCATAGCATTTCTCTTTTTTCTACGTTTGACATGAAAATTTGTGTTAGCATTTAAAATCCTTTTAACGCCTATCCGGGTTCTTGTCCTTCCCGAATATACAATTTCACAGAGCTTATCAAATGAAGATGTTTTCAGTATATTTAAACATTCATGAAGAGATGACAAGTTTTATTTCTTCAGCACAAACGGACACGGAATATTATGAATACTGAATTACAAAGCATATATTTTTAATTGAACAGTTAATTAAGAAATATCTTATTTTGGTTAGTGCATCTAATGATTTCAAATTCAAAAATGAATACGTCAAGTTATACTGCAACCATACACAATCTGTCGGAAGCAAATGTCAATGTATCATCACGAATAAGGAAGTTAGGACAATGATCAGTTAGGGCAACCTCAATCATTCCGATATAATCAACATACAGAGATTGCAATTACCGCTGTCATATTTTAGCGTTTTATGTTCGCCACGAATAGCGCTAAAACATGATTACCGCTACGTATTGAGTAATTATCTAAAAGTACGATACTTTATTCTCTCTATATATTCACGCATGCCCACTACATTACTTCTGCTGTGTATCTAATATACTTTCTATTGTATATCTCTGTACACTATTGCCTGTAAAGATTTTGAGATAATGATAAAATGAATTAAAAGTAACTGCGATCAGCGCAATCAAATTTAACGATATATGTTCGGCACGAAAAGCGCTTAAAAGACTTACGGTTACCATATACACAATGAAATAATTAACTATCAGTTTAAACATTTTAGGATACTGAATAGAAAGTAAAGATAAGCTAGTCCACTCATCTGAATAGTGCATTTCAAAACAACAACGATATAATGGGGTAAACTGTGTCTTACATTTGACGAGTCCTAGAGATTAATTTATTGTTTGGTTCTATTGTATACTATCTATATGTGGATTAAATGGTGCTATATCGCCTGTTTTGTTTTGTTTTGTTTTTTTCAGTCTTCGAAATTGGGTTTTTCGTATCATGATAAATCAGAATAATGACACGATTCAGAATTAACACATAACCTTACTCGATGTTCTGATAACATAATCAGAAATGCAGAAATTAAAAAACTACTGAATAATGGTTCTGATGAACCTTCTTTGATTCTGGTATTTCTTTCGATCAATTTCAGATTTTCCTCGATTGCCTCCTAAGTTTAGCATTTAGGCCCTTAGCATCACTGACGAATCCTAGAAGAACGAAACGGCTGTATGATGCAGTTTAATTCATTTTGGCTATACTGAATCTTATCTAAATTTGTTTTAAATGGTGTTTTTTTTTTTCACTTTTGTGTCTTTTGTACAATCTTTGATTCGTCTCTCCAAACAATGTAAAGAACAATGTAGATATTGTTTTAGCAAATGAATGGCATGGCAATTAGATCAGACATTGTAGAACATTACATTCAGTTTTTGCTTTAGATTTAAATGTGATTTACATTTGTTTTTCATATGTTTTTTCTATTTTTGACATATTTTTATGCGTCCTGAATTGAAGCATCTTTGTACACACACCTCCCTCTTTACATAACTTGTTAATAATGTGCCTTTTTCTTCATTAAGTGATACTGATTAATGCAGTATTTTTTGTGAAAATCTTATATAAAATTCTGATACATAACGTTCAAGTCCACGATAAGTACAGACATACATGTAAATGATATACGCAGTTGTATGAGATATAGTCATATACATGTATTTAGAATAAATACATTTAAATCTGCGAGAGATACAATCAATCTGTAGTACAAACAACCAGTGTCCGATTATCCACCAAACAAGGTAGACATTGCAAAAACAAGATCTTCACGACACTGAGATATGTAGGTCCCACAACTCAACAGAGACAGAGAAGAATATGAAAATGATTCAATGATTTAAGTCAATTCCACAAATATGACCATATCTACATGATTTTAGTAATGAACGCAATTTAATATTCTTTTTTAAAATTTGATTTCCATCCTACGCTCAATACATATGTATTATAATGACACAGGGCAGTGATTTAATAATTATTTTATTGCAAAACTTTGTACAATTGGATTGGGCACAAGTTTTTCCAACTTATTAAGCCCTCTCCATTACATGGATGGTAAAACAATACTTAACTACAAGCAATGTAACAATATATTGAATCATAATATTTTT